TCTCTCTCATCTCTCTCATCTCTCTCATCTCTTTCTCATCTCTCTCATCTCTCTCTCCTCTCTCTCCTCTCTGTCTCTCGTCTTTCCGTCTCTCTTCTCTCTCTTCTCTCGCAGGAGGATCCGGGCAAAGAGCCACATATAAAGGACTCTTCACCCCTGCCTCCAAAAAGAGCGCCGTGTTTTTTCCTACCTCGCTGCCCTCCACTTTCCCATTCTGGAGCGCTAGCTTTCGCCCCCCCCCTTGGCCTCAAGTCTGCTCATAGGCTTTTGGGGGTTGTAAAAGCACCCACAGTTTTCATGCTCCGCTCCAGAAACCGCGGCTCCGTCTTACCGACTCCGGCGTCCCGGAGTGGCTCCGTCTGACCGTCCGCCCAGCTCCACCGTTTTCGGTGAAAGGCGGTCTTGAAGAGTTCAACCCTTCCTGGGCTCGGAGGTGTTTGGAAAAGCCTTCGACTTTTCGGTTCGGTGACCACTTCAAGGGTCGAACGGTGCTTCGATCTTAGGTATGTGACCTTGAAGCACGGCGCTGACAAGGCGCGGGCGGAGCACGCGGCCTTGAAGTCCGGTGACACGGGTGGAGCACGTCTCTTCTCCTCCCGGCTGTCCGGAGCATTCGTGACCAGGGTTCCTGACCGACCTCGTCACCTGCCCAGCGGGACCACGGGAGAGGAGTCCAACGTCGTTTCGCGGATGTTGGGTTCAACGGAATACCGTTCGCCTTCCAAAAGCATGCGAGCAGAAATGGAACGAAGACCTGTGAGCTTAGCTGTCGTTTTTTTCGATCAGTCCAAACAATGGTCTCTTCGGGACAACCCGACCGTTTTCGCCGAAAACTCCTAAGACTTCGGACGGGACGCTCGATGACTTCGGGAGCTGACCAACGGCAGGTTCGTGTGTGGAGGACTGGTTCGTGCACGGCCGCGGGGTGCACGGCAGGTGATCGTCTTCGAGCGTGGCGATTTGCTGTTCGTCTTCAATTTCCATCCCTGCAACAGCTGCTTGGGGCGGTGAAGCCGTGTTTTTCCAACCTGCTCGGGTTTTCAATCACCTGTGACCCACCGTCCTGTTCCAAAGACCCTCCACTGGAACATCACTGAGGCTATGATGGATACCAACTGGGCTGCATGTGGAATGAGCCCATGCGAACCATCCTGGACACCGATGAGGCAGCTGAGAAGTTACAGTGCTTTTCACTCCTGGCTTTTTGCTGAGGGAGCTTTTTGATAGACCTCTCCACACGAGCGAGCTGGATCCTTTTTTTTGTGACTTTTTGCGACTGGTGGGGCTGGGGGCGGCTGGGGAGGGTGTTGTGGTTGATCTATGGGTGTGCATGAGTAGAATTTGGAGACCATCCCTACAGGCAACGACCCCCTGGAAGAAAGAAAACAGGGAGTTTCCCCATTCAAATGCAGACCCATGTTTTGAATTGGTAAGTCTGCTACACCTTGGGGCTTCTGAAGGTGTAGGAGCTGATGCAAAGGCTCAACCACACCAAACAGACTTTGCAGCACCCTTACAAGAAGCCCTATCTTCGTGCCTTCTATCATCTATCTATAGCTAGGGAAAGTGATCCAACCCTCCCAATGTCGGAGACAGTGGGCAAGGACGTTTTACAGGGACTACTACCCCTCCGAACTTGGAACCGGGGGTGCCGATGGAACTGCTGCTTTGAAGCCAGCGTCCATCGGAGCCTTTTGTATCGTGGAAGGACTGTACTCTGGGAGTTCAAAGGGGACTTTCCTTTACACTCCCTGAAGTACAGGGTACAGTCCTGACTGAAGGACGGTACCGTGGAAGGACTTCCGAACGGTTTGAAGTAAAGGGGACCTGATTTCGAGACTTTCCTTCACACTCCCTGGAATCACCTCGAAAGTGGATGGCATGGCCCCGATCCGGGAGGGCCCCTTCTTGGAACACCAGGGTCTTCACTAAGGAGGCTAGGCACCTCAGTAGCCTCCAACAGGGACTGAGTTGAGGGTTCTTGAGCCCAAACAGGTCTTCATTTGACCTCTAGAGTCGGGTCCTGGTATAGTCTTTGCACTTCGAATGACTTGATAGACCATCCCCGACTGCATCATCCACCGTTCCGCCTGTCCGTTCCGCCCACCGCAAAGCTCGGCGCAACGCGAGGGGCGCTTTGGAGGGCATCAGCGACTGGAGTATGGCCATGGCAATCCTTTTCCACCCATGTGCCTTGCAAACTTTGAGCTGTTGGACCGACTTCGTACGCGACGGTTTTCTCTGCGTACTCTACTCCACGTCGAGAGGTGTCCCAAAGAACCGCGGTCTTTCCACAGGAAGCAAAGGTTGGAGGGTAGAGTGTGACACATTTGGATACATTTGGACTTAAGGGGGGTCATTCTCCCAATAGCTTTTAGGATCTCTAGATCGTCCCCGGCCCCTAATGTCGGCTGTTGATGAGTAAAGCCCCTCACACGAAGAGGACTTACAACGGGTGGGTTTATGAATCAACAGTCAGATCGTGTATATAACCCTACCGGGACCCTACCGGGACCTGGTAGGCGTCAAAGACTTCATTCTACAGGAGCTGGTCATACAAAAGCATGACTCACAGAAGGTCCTTTGACCAGGTTTCCCTGGGTCGGACTGGACTTGGAGGGATTTGCAGCTGATCATTGGGGGGTGGCGCTGGTGGGGTTTCCCATTTCAGTCTCCATTGACACATGAACCAAAAAGTGATCTGTTGAGGTCCATAGGCCACGAAGGGGAACCCTCAGCCGAGCCACAGATTTCTAGCATGGATCTGAAAAATCTGCTGGCCCTGTCGGGTGTGCTCTGGGTGCGATCCCCCAAGTAGCTTAAGAGAGGATGCAAGACTTTATGGGACCCTACACCAGGACCCGACTCTACAGGTCTCTGAAGTGGTGGCTGAAATGCAGACTTGACAGTCGTGAAGTCGGGAGCTGGCAGCAGTACATCATATGGGATAGGATCGGATAGGCTAAACAGGATCTGTTCAACTTCTCCAGGTACCTCAGGAAGTCCGGGCGCTCGAAAAGCACTGCGGCAGCGGCCAAGTCCATGCCCTCCCGAATCCACTCCAAGTGACCACAGTCCGACGTTCGCATTTGGCCCAGTTCATGGTCATGTGGTCAAACTCCTGACCGCGCGCCGAGCGGAAAGAAGAGTTGACTGACTGGAGGAGCGACCAATCATCGGCATGGCATCGGCATGGGACCTTACCACTTCTTCCGAATTGGAGTTTCAGACCTCCCAAAAACTGAACGCCACATTGCTGTGACCACGGGGTCGAGACGTGTGTTCCTCTAGGCATGGCGCGCACAGCCGCAACCACTCAGTGCCCTGACCGATTTCAGAAGCGGAAGTGAAGAATTCCAGAAGGGTGGAGGGATGGAAGGCAGTGGCATTCTGCTCATGGTCAGGAAGAACCATGGTCGCCTTTCTTTTTTGACAGAAGAAAGGCGGCCAAAAGCATTGGACTTTGAGCTGTACTGCCCTCGAAGGAAGGTGGTGCTTTTGGGTTTAGGTGCTCCAGTGCTCCAGGGACCTTCTCAGCACGTGGTGTAGACTCTTGATTTATAATAGTCACCCTATGAAGAGGTTTTGCAATCCAAACGCGGGGATTTTTGCCAATTAAGAGTGTACATTATATGCATGTCATGTTTGATGTTGGTCTGCGGTGCTTTTTGAGGCTCCCCAAGGTCTTTTGGTGAAAGACATTTAATGCCTCCTGTGTCACCCAGAACATGCGACAATCTTTTGGCCCAACTCAAAAGCCATTCGGCCAACTTTTGGCCCAACTCAAAAGCCATTCGGCCAAATATAGCCAAATGGGTCTCCCTATTCTGAGACACATCCAGACACATGGATTTTTGGACACTTTCTGAGTGCTTCGAGAAAACCGACTTCGGAGGTCTCTCTAGACGCTTCGACCGGGCCAAGAGGGAGGAGGACGGCGAAAAAAAACCGAAGTCTCCACTGTCCTGCGCTCCGGTGCTCCACTGGCTTCCGTCCCTTTGAGATTCCTTTGGGATCGCACGATCCCGCACATGCCAGAAACGATGCCTCACCGTGACGGGCCGTGACCCTCCAAGCTTCCAGACGCGTACGGCCGACCACATGGGTACTTCACGACTCTTTTGCCGACCTGCTTTCAGAACGGGCCGACGGGGGCCTTGCGAACACGGGGAAGAACACCGGATCTTCGGGTCTGCCGGGTCTTCGGCGCCTCGGTTTCAGGTGAAGATGTACTTGCCGGCGCGAACTGCCCAAGTCTTGGTGAGAGACAGCCTCCTTCAAGGTGCGACCCAGTCGAGGGACGGCGTAGCGGCGTAGGGTCGTTTTGGGTGCAGTCAAGGTGCCTTTAGCTGTCGGCCGTGGTTCAGAACGGGATGCGTAGGGGCATGCGTGGGGGTGGAGGCGCAGTGGGTTTGGGGGTTCTCGGTCGATTTCCTTGCGATACATGGCTGTGAGTCAGATGTTGGCCCAGCTTGGCGGCTTGGGGGTTCATTCACGAGAATTTGAGGGAACAGGTGTGGATTCCCTGCACGTCAAAGACATCACTTTACTGAAGTTGATCATACAAACTCACTACTCAAGGAGGTAAAGGACCAGGTTTAGGTTTTGCTGGGTCTTTGGGGACCTGTAGGCATATTTTTCGATGAGCCACGGTGCAAGAGCCAGTTCTTATTCTATTGTGCCACAAGCCTTTATTTATATGGTCTCTTTATTTATAGGCTTGTGGCCCTTCATTTTACTTACATCTTACCATTGATTTTCATAAAGTAATAATCTCTTAATATAATGAAAATCAATGGGGCCTTTTTTATAATGTAAAATCACTTATTAATAAAAAGGCCAAGATATGAATGATAATCCCAAGACCAACACTATTTATTTCTTTATTTCTTTTGGTTGAAGCTTTAGGAGGATCGCAATTTCTCACGAAGATTAGGACGATTGCAGGTGACAGGTTGGCCGGGCGTGATGGAATCTACCTGGACTATCCTGTCTGGGTGTGGCTGGACATCTAAGTAGTGGGGGCTGGGTAGTCCAGCCAGGACACCCAGATGGTCGGATGATTCTGGTAGAAAGACCGGAGTTTGGTCAGGCCGTTGTGGCCGGTCAACTGCTCTCATTACGGGTCGTAGTTGGGTGCTGCCCTCTGGGGAGAGGTGGCTTCGGATTTTCTTTATTTCGTTTTTTTTCACCCCGTCTCACGTGCTAAAGGAAGGAGATGCACCGGGATCTTTCATACAAAGACCGCAGGTGTGGCCTCGGTGCGATTTGGCCGCGAGAAACAGAACACACACCTACTAGGTGTGTGTGCCGTTCAACCAAGGGCAGCAGCGGTTTAGGGGTGGAGGGAGGATGTAGCAAGTCGGACGTAGCTGGGCAGCTCAGTCGGACCCTCCAAGCTCTTGATACCTTTTAGAAGAATGCAACAAGAAGAATGCAGCAAGGGTCCCAGAAGCCGGACGCCGAATCGGGCATCGGTTTCCCCGTCACTGATGCTTGTACCCCCCCCCCACCCTACAAGTGCCCATTCACTCGACCCGGTGGTGGTGGTGGTGGTGGTGGTGGTGTGAAGCCGCCGAGCCGTTTGCGGAGCCGAAGAAGGCTCGTGCTCTCGTGCTCGGTCAGGTGGTGTGAAGATTTGGATGGATGGCAGCTTTTTGTCGTATTGGAGTCTCCCCACGTGCGTCCCTTGGAGAACCGAACGTCCGGAGAACGACCGGTGACGCCCAGTGGGAGTGAAGGCGAACGGTGGGAGTGGTGACCCAGGATTCCGAAGCGTAAACCAATGATAAAGACCAGAACAGAACGTAAAACTGGTTGGAATCCCACAGGGTTCTTCCAAGGACATGTGCCACGTGTTGTTGGGGGATGACTGGGTTGGTGGGGTTTCCAATTTCCTCAGTCTCCATTGACTGTACATGAGGCATATGGGGAAGGTTGGAAACCAATACTTTGGAACACCAGCCACGTGCCAGAAAATGAAGCATCTGTCAAGTTGTGAAAAGGGTGCCAATTTAGGTGTATAAAAAAGGCAAACACAGTTCACTTGGAGGGCTGGATCAGCTACTACATAGCTTTTCAAGCAAGCACTTCAGTACATCATCCATGGGTTCCTGGGGTGAACAACCGTTTCGTTTTGATTTCATCGTTCTTCTTCCCAAATCATGGCCATGCCATCCACCTAACCAAGGATGATTCATGATGATTCTTTCAGGGAGTGTAGACTCTTGATGAATCACCACACCATTTGGATGGTGTGTCACCTCTTTGACCTGACTCAGGAGGGGATGAAGCTTTCCTTGCAGACCTGGAAGGATGGCAAGCAGGAGACCGAGCCGACCTCGTGTCACCGGTTCCACCCCGGTTCCCCCGGCGGGTTGAAACCGCGCCGGTGGAACCGAGCCGGCCGCCCGCCGCCCGCCGCCCGCCGCCTGCATGGTCTTTTCCGTGGCGTTCGGCTCCGGTTCGGCTCCGGAGGGGTGTCGATCGAGTCGAGACGTGGGAGGCCATGAGGTGCTTTCTCTTGTGAAACCGTGAGATGGTGTCAGCACCTGATATGGCTGCATGACACAAAGCAAGTGGAGAACACATGTGAGAAACGTGAGAAAGGATTCATTACTCTGCAGTTCGTCCCGCAGGAGATGATGGACTTTGACTTCAACGACGCCGGTTGCGTGGCACGGGGGCTTGGAGAAGCAAACGCGGTGGACGAAGGAGTAGAGCGGGCGAAGAGAAAGGGCCAACTTTCGCGAGCCAGGTTGAGATGCGGAATTCTTCACCGATGTCTCAAGTGACTCAAGAGCATGCTGGTGGCAAAACTGAACGTCCATTCTTGAAAAGCAAAACTGAAACTACCCTGAACTCCATTCAAAAGCAAACTAAAAGTCACTCCCATTCTTGAAAAGCTACCCTGAACTCTCTGTTGCAGGAAGTGACTTTTCGGGGGGGAAGAGATGGCAAGAGTTGACGTTGGTTTCGAAGCACCATCAGAGTGTCTTTCGCGAGTGTCTCACTTGGGTCTTTTTGCCTTTTCTTTAGGTCCCAAACGGAGGCGTCGCCTCCGGTCTCTGCAAGTCTCCGCCCGCTGAGGAGCTGGGCTTGAACTTTGATGCCACCTTCCGCATCTTGGATGCGACCGGCCAGGAGACGTCGCCGGGGACGAAGCCACCGATGTAGCCATGTGACGTGACCGGTGATTTAACATTTGTGACCGGTGCATTGATTTATTATAAGTATTGTGTTATTTGTGTTTTGTTTTGTTTTGGTGTATTGATGTATTTTTAGGTACATATCTTATGCAACCATGCGACTCGACTTTACACCAGGAAGTGCTTCACCAAAAGACCACCTGATACAACACTGTGCGCCAGAAGTGCTGCACCAAACCTGTTGTTTCCAGGTACATTCAAGCTCAAACCTGGAGCTACCAAACTACCAGCAGTGAAGCCCTTCTCTGTTCAATCCATCGCCAACTACAACGGCTCTTCTCATGGAACCGTCTATATACATCGAAGCCGACGAAAGCGTGTTCCGAAAGAAACATAGAATATAGAAAGATAGTAACAATATATATATATATACACAGCCTGGAAGTCCAAGACCATTGTTAAATGGTTGATCTGGTTTTGTAGTGTAGTGTCAAATCTTAGTGAAACAATGGTTGTTCGGTAAGGGCGATTAAGTAATGGTGGTTCGACTTCTAGGGTATATATATACACATTGAATGGGTGACCAGAGAATGTAAGTTATTGCTATTATCAACAGCTTACATTGGGTCCATGTAGACTCCTGAAAGCCTTCAACTGACTGAAGGATCGGTCAAGTCTGATGGGTGATTCTTCATCATTACCCTTCTCACAAAAAGAACCAATCACTGGTTGAATTCTAAGATCTATTTACATAGAGTCCGCTGGACCTAAGATTGATCTGCATAGCAGTAATAAAAGCAAGAATCAACAATAATAGTAGTAGTAAGATGTAATAAGATGTAATAGTAGTAATGAGAAGTAATCAACAACAACAGCAATACTAGTAGTAATAAGATGCAATAAGAAGTACATAACAAAAACAGTGTCCTTCTCTCAAGTTCTGTTGTTTCATCTTCGGTTCAAGGCAAAGAGGGCCGATGGTTGAGCGTCCAACGGCCGCAGAAAAGCAGGGATGGGAACCTGTTCAGTGAAGTTCAACGAGCAAATGACACCAATCCCAACAGCTTGTTGCTGGGCCTGTGTTGGTTGGTCAGGCCTTGAGGTCTCGAAACCAAAACTGAATCTGCCGGCTCGCGGGGTGCACATCATGTTCCTCCCGAAGTGGGTGCCGACCCAAGTCAGCAGGACTTGCCCTGCAAATCCTCCAAAGACGGCTTCTACCGTGCGGCCCGGTGAAACAGTTCGACCGGCGCCTTCGACGGGCGGCTTCGCGGACGATGCGCCTGCAGAGCGGCCTCTGCCTGCTCGCAGCGCCTGCAGGGCGGACATGATGCGGGAGAGATACGGGAGAGATGCGGGACAAGGCCTTGGGTAAACTGGTCTATTTCCCGAACCCAAATTGATGGGGGCGGTCTTTCGCCTGGGATGGTCTCAGTATATGAAAGAGCTACACAACCATGTGGGATTCCTATGTGGGTCGCTTGCGTTCGACCGAAGTACGCAAACTCTTAGTACCTGGCCTTCCGTTCGATCGGCGTTGTTACCAGTTTCCAACTTTGGCGTCCAGAGATTTTCACCATGTTCACCTCTGGTCGGGTTTCGCACAGCAGCGATTTTGGGGCTGTCCACGGACAAATCACCCTGACCTCATCAGTGGACCTCAGGACTCACTGAATCCAGACATCAGAGGTGTGGACAAAACCAGGTCAGTTGGAACTCACTGTGCGGTCTGGGGGGAGTTTTTCCGGACCAGCAGACTGGAGCTGGGTCAGACTGGAAGAAGGGAAGGGGAAAGGTTGTCACCACTTGCTCCACTTGATATGAGAAAGGATCTCAAGGTGGCGCCAACCATTGGAACATCCATTTGTTTCAGGTTGTGAACGGGTTTTCAGATATACCTAGAGAAGCAAAACACTAACAATTTTTTTTCTCCTGGATGAAACATCCCTTTTTCTTGGTATCTTGTTTCCCTAGGTAGTATTAAATGTGGTTCTTTCCGCTCCGGAACCTTTTACCCCCCTCCACCCGGTCGACCCGGTCGTCCCGATGCGTACATCGATGCGTCGGCTCGGAGTGAGGTGGAGTGACCCGGGTGGTCACTTCCGTGGTGACAAGGTTCGGTGCCCTGAAAAAGACAACATACCTGGATCTTCCAATGGTGTCAAATTGATGCTTTTCCATCTATAAAACCAGCCAAAAGACTGAAATTTGGCACAGTTGGAGGATCTAGGTATGGCCGATCTTGGCTTCTAAAATGGCCGATCTTGGGTCCTCGTCACGGAAGAATAAATAACCCAAAACCAGGTGGGAAAGCCTTCGATGGTGGGTCTTCGGAGACCTTGCGGTGACCGGGGACTCTGCCAATCTCGCCCGGTGGAGCACAGGTGGTCGGTCACCGGTGGAAATCCGCTCGAAACACCGATGACCCAAACGCAAATGCTCCAAACTCAAGTGGCCACAGAGATGGTCCCGTGTTTTGGCTGCGCTTCTACGACCTCTTGAGCGCCAGGATGTCTCCAGTACGCGCGGCCCGCGCGTACTGAGCGCGTAGACCCTGTTGGTGCGAGCTCAGGTCTTCTTCCCAGGTGACTATGCCGTCTCTGGCCACTTGGCGAGGACGACACCCGCCGGTCTCGGCTCGGACTGGGGTGGAGAGCAACGAACGCACCTGAGACGGACGGCGCCAGGCGTGCTGCGCCATGCGTGACATGAAGGACCTGAGACGCTGGCGATGTTGGGCGAAGTGACCTTGACGTTTCCGCCCTGAAGACAACAACAAGGGAGCGAAACATGGACGCTTTCATTGGTATGAATGCAAGAAGATCCCAAATTTGGCGGTAACTGCTTTAACGATCTTTAACAAGCCCTGCCGCCTGCGCGTTCACTTCCATTTTTGTTTCGCGGCGTTGTCTGACATTCGCACTTCCATCTTCGTTTCGCCACATCCACCTTCCTTCCATCTGACATTCCCACGCGAGTGAGCTGTTCATGCATCTTCCAAGACCATGAAAGGACAGGTTGACCCTTAGTCAAAGAATGGTGTTTCGGAAACGAACAAAGTATGAAATCCAATGGTGGGCCAGGAAGCGGGTATAGACGTGTTCTTCCTATCCCAATCTCTGCTTTTTGACCCACGTGCGTGATACGAAAACGCCTTCCCACCCCGATGTCTAGCGTAAGCGGTGCGCGACCAAGGCCTGGGCTACCTGAAGAACGGCCCGGGCTGCCCGGTGGACAAGTTCGAGGATCCTGAGGACGGACCGATGGAGAGAGGATAGGCAGATGGGAGGATTTTTTCGGGTCAGACGCGTCAGGTGGGATGAAAGGAGACGCCCAATAAACCAAAAAGGAAAGGCCTGAAAGGAAGTCAAAACCCTTCTGAAAAGACTGAGGGGGTTGATATGGTTTGGATTCCTGGGCTAGATTTGAGGCTGGAGGACAATTGGGAATTCCTCAACTACCAGTACCCTCCAACAGGTCTTTAGTTGACGGTTGTTGGGGCCCTTTCAGCGGTCTCAATTGATGACCTGGTATTTGACACTGCCCAGACGCTCCGTTCGCAGCCCGACTGGTCCCTCAAAACCATGCAGACATAGGAATTGGTTCGACGCAGTGCATCCTGCGCGGACCTGGACCGAAAAGCCGCCCTCGCGGACGATGTCGCGCTGGTGGGGCGCTTTGGGCCGCTGGAAAGCGCGGTGCGGCGATCCCAATCCACGTGGGTGCCGGTCGGTCTCTTCAGGAGGTGGAAGAAGCGGAGCAAGCGGAGGAAACGCCCGAGGCGTCCCCCACGACGGTGCCGAAGGACGAGGCGAAGGACGCGAAGGCCAAGGAAGGCCGGGATGGAACGAAAGAGTGAGGTGTGGCGAAACGGGTAGCCCTACAGGTCCAGTCTGACCCAGTAAAGGCTGGTCCTGAAAACCATCCATTGAGGAGCAGTGATTTGGTATGATCAACTTCAGTATAAAGTGAGGTCCAACTGACCTGTAGGGTAGCGCGGAACCTTGCTGCGTTTCGCCGCAGCAGGTTTGAGAGTTGTTGGTCGCTGGGGGTCGCACCTTGGTCACCAGTCCAGCTGGTGGAAACGAACTTCTTCCGCTCAGTAGGGGGTCGACGACGCAGGGACGACGCAGGGGGCTGGTCCGCCCGCAGGATTGGTTGACGCTTCCTTTGGGTGGAATGAGGCCTTTGAGTCATAGAATTCTGCCAGTAGCCCAGGTATCACAGTAGAATTTGATACATGAAGATGTGCATTATCCAGCTCGAATTTGGGCTTTTTCTGGATAGTCTGCACGAAGAAGCAAACACATGCTTCAGAGGAGCATCCGTTTCCGCCCACGCACCGTGCAGGCAAGACAGGTGGCTACAGCGCTGGAAGCGCGGTGCCTGCAGCTGCAGGTGCCTTTGAGGGGAGGACCTTGGTTTTGGGGAATTTCCGGTAAGCGAAGCACACGTGGACAGAAGGCCATGAAAGACTTCGATGAGTTCACCCTTTTAGGGTCCGAGGGAATCGTCACCGTTCTGTACGGGATCATACATGGCACGGGCCGGGTAGGGGATCACCGACGGATCGGCTCTGCTTGTTTGGTCGGTTCGCGTCGGTCGGTTCGGCGCACGTCGTCTCGCGGACGGATCCAACAGGATCCAACGGTTTTGGAAACCGCCCCTAGAGGCTATGTATAGACACCTCTTGGGGAGTCCTGGTATGCATGTATACATATATACATTCTATATATATATTTACATATATATATTTACACATGGAGTCTTTGCTCGAGTGGTTTTAAGATGCTTAAAGGGTCAATGCAAGTAAATCCCGCCCCCTGGTTTCGTAGTGTAAAATCCTTATGCAAGGGATCATCATAAATACATACGCATTGTAGTGGGTTTTACACCATCATAGAAGAGTTGCCTGAATCCCTGTGCACGGTGGCCCTGCAGGGGTCTCAATGTAGAAGCTGTAGAAGACATGAATTTCGATGACTTGGACTATATGTATATAAATTATATATTTATACATAGTAGGTTTCACTCTGTTTCGCTTCTTCCACGGGGTTATTGGGAGGTCTCCCTATTTGCACCTATTTACATACGCACCCAATATTATAGACGTTGGGATGAGGGCACGCTGCCAGCAAGCTAGAGAGGATTTTTAGGCTGAGAGGACAAGTTCGTACAGGGACAAAGGATATGCCATGAAACAGGTGCTTCTCAATTTCTAAGTGAAAGAGCTTGTGGTTGTTCCTCTGATCAGTTCCCGAGTCTCACCTCCTCAGTGAGTCTCTCACCTCTCACCTCCTTGCGTGACCCAATTCAAACCCCCATATCTATATCTATATCTATCTCTCTCTCTATATATTGATATGACAATATGTTAATATTTCTTTATATATACATAGTTCGCTTTCCTCTCTTTTCAATGTGCATGAGGGGCTTCCATACCGTATGGCGTCGACGCAGGAGTGTCATCCACCGCCCGGCGACGCATGGACCGTCCGACGCGCGAGGTGTATATATATATATACATAAATATATATAGTAATAGTAAAATAAGAAGAATAGTAACGATTACTATATAAAGATAGTAATTGTTAATAAACTAGTAATAGTAAAAATTACTCATGCTTCATTTGTATTTCTTTTTTCCCGGGCGCTTCTGTTCCTCGCTTCGGGTTTCTCCAGCTGGGCTTCCCTTTCTCCTTCTCAGGCAAGGCAGTGAGCGCCGAAGTGACGACCAGCGCCGTGGTGGGAGCCTGACCGAGTCTCCGTGGCCGTGGCCGCCCGGCCGAGTGGACGCGTGGTCCGGGCGCCGCTGCGGAAACCGCAGTGGTTGGGGGCGCAGTTGGTAAGGCACCCTGCAGGTTGGTTGATCAATCCAAACACATGCAGGGTTGCAGGGTGGTGGGTTTTTGGAAGGAGAGAATTAGGAGGGCCGCAGATGGCATTCCGTGCCCACTTGTTCAAAGGATTCATAGGTTGAGTCACAGAATTCAGAAGATTAGCCGATTAGCCACATTTTTTGGGTTTGTCGTTCGTGTCACAGTCCTGCTGAAAGATTCAGATGGCAAGGTCGTGTCACTGCCTCAATGGCTCTCTCCCAATGTACCATCACAGTGTTCACCAGGAAGATGTTGCACCAACAGTGGAGAGTTGCACTCTTCACAGTGGAGAGTTGCACCTAAACTGATGGCGCAATTCAAACTCTGGGCAGTTGAACATATTGCGGTTGCAACTTCAGGTTGTTTGATTGATGATAGAATCTTCTCATAGACAACTTAATTCTCATCCTCTGTCTAGTGGTGCCCAAATTGAGTGTCCATAGTGCATAGTGTCTCGATGATGTTAGATAAATCTACTTCATCAAGGCTTCGTGAGCTGCGCACTGGCGAACACCCGGAGGTGACCGTGTTTGACACCACGTTGGGGCACCGTGCAATCGAAGAACTTGCTTGATCCGTGATCCGTGTACTTCCGATTTGATGCAAATAGTTTTTTTATGGCCACATTGCAACCCGGTTGACCTGCTTTAGTAGTGCAGATGTCCTCAATAGTTGTTCGGGATTTTGCCAAGTAAGTTCATGGCGGCCCAGGAATTTTAGGGGGAAGAAGCATGTCTTCTTGTTTGGCTTCCTGGAGCATCTGTTTCTGGATCTTGACCCGAGTGGCGCCTTTCGCAGAACCCGAGTCCCACCTCCATTCTGCCACATCCGAGCCCATCTCTGCCGCTTGCCCTTCGACAAAGGTGAAGTTGAAGACCAATGAGAGTTTCAATCCTTTTACAGCAGTCAGGAGCAGAATTTCTCGGGTTCCGGCGCTCCCTCCAGTTTTCTCAAACCAAGTCATCCCGTTCGCCTCCCGAACGACCATTAAAAAAAGAGGCAGCGACCTGGTGACCTGTCGTGTCAAATCAGTCAAACAAGGCTTCTTCGGGACGATTCAGGCCTAAGAAAATGCATCGGTGCCCAGGAAGCCCAGGGGTGCCAGATGGGGTTGGCCAAACCAAGCGCCAACCACGACCTGCGACGCCTTGGCCTGGACCGGCCACGGCCCATGCGCCCGAAGCCGCTTCGGGCCGAAGGGGTTTGGTTCGGGTCCAAGGATTGCGGTTCGGGTGCCAAGAGAAGTTCTACATTCCATAGGGTTCGGGCCCAGGAGCATTTGGGCAAGAGATGCTGACATTGCTCGGTGTGTGTTCTTTCAACCAGACTTCCAGAATTGAGCCCATGACAGGGCCCATGGATCACTGGCGCGATATAAGACCGTTGTTCTTTCGCAGGTGCAGCCGATTCTGTTTGGGGTGTTGGGAAGGACCGTTGGGGTTTCTTGCGCTTAAACGTGGACCAATTGACATGCCCAAATTGTTTGCAGGAGCATGTTCGGTTACAGTCTCTGAATGTTGACCGACCTGGACGTATACTGCATTCAGACTCCACTCTCGTAGTCATCCAGCTTCATTCGGCGCCGATAGAGGATCACCCAACCCTCTTCCCTGAATTTAATTTAGGATCTGTTTGGTTTGAGAGATTTTCATAGGATTTTCCATCTGACCATGCTAGATTCGACTGGACCACCTGATTCGAGCGCTGCACAGTGGCGCATGCCACTAGCTACTTGGTAGCTTTTCATGCCACTATTGCATGGGGCTTTTGGGTGAACCCAAATTCTGCGGCCTGACACCATTTTTTCACAGCCGGAAGGGACGCGGGTGCACAGTGGCGCATTTTTTCTATGGCCAAGGTCAGGTGAAGATGAGCTGTAGTCAATGTAGATCACCCGTTTTTCTTTGGAGGCCGGGGGTAGACTTTGGGTCGTTCTTGGCATGCACTTGAAGAAGTTGATGCTAGCATACCCTGAGATAAACCAACATCTGGGGGTTTGTAGGTGACGGAAGAAGACGGTTTAAGTGGCACTTGTGCATTTGCAGTGAGGTCTTCATGTCGATGAGTGGTAAAAAAACTGTCAGGATCACAACGAGTCAGGACTGTATTGTCTTTCGTACAATGGGAAGAGACAACAAAGTCAAAAGAGCATCAAAAGAACAACAATTACATAAGATAGTACATAGGATTTAAACCAAGGAGCCATTCAGAGTTTTCCCATGTTTTTCGAACACCGAACCGATTTGGTTAGTTCGAACCGTTCACTTTGTAATTGAAGCGGCCACAGCACCTAGCAAGCGGTGTCATCATTAAGCGGTGCGTTTCCACCGATGACTGCGGGCTTCTGAAATGGAAGCCACATGGTCTCTGAGATCTCTTGAGGTCGCTGCAATCCCTCTTTGAAGCACTGATCCTCTGACGAACGGACGTGTGACGCATCTTCCTCACCTGTTTTCATGCACGATCACTCTTTTTGCTCTTCCTCTCTTGGACGTGCAGTGCACACACCAAAGCAAGCGGAGTGGAAGAGTGGAAAGAAAACACGGGACACACTGTCTGGGCCCGTTCCGAAGCGGGAGCCGCGCCCTCCCGTGAGTCTACGGGAGGGCGCCGTGCTGGCGGCCTTCTTGAACGAAACGAAAAGGGGAGGGGGTCGCAGACTGTGCAACAGAACGGGAGCACGAAGAGGGCTGGGTTCACCACTTCATCAAGTCCATCTTTATTTTCCCATTTTCCAGGTTCTTCAAAGTGACCGAACTTCATCCCCTGGTTTGAGGTCACTTAGTAGGCCTGGAAATGGTCACAGACAGGGGCTCCAAAAAGGTAAAGTTGAAGAACCTGGTGCTTTTCTTCTTTCGTCGGTTGTTTTCATCACAGAACGGAGGGAGTCGGTGAGGTGAACATCCACCACGAAAACCACGGGTGGAGAGGGGCGGGTAGGGAGGCTTCCATGAGGTGAGGTAGGAAGGTACTGGAATATGAATGAGATATTACTGTATAATATATGGGTGTGTACTTTAGTAGGGAGATCCCCAACCAATTGATTTTTGGTATATTTTCCTTCTTCCAGGGGGTCTTTGGGGGTCGACCTATTTTAATACACATCCATTATATTATATTATTATATATATTATTTATATTATATATATGTATATTATATAATATATATATATAGATACACACACACACACACACGCACAGTGCCGTCCATTTGTGTGTTCCGCTTCCTTCACTCGGAATGTAGCAAGAAAACATCCGTTTGTTCCTTCCCCGCCATCCGGATACGTTCCTTTGGTCATTTTCTCAGCTTCACCCTTTGTGCGATTTCCATGGATTGCAGACGGTGATGTTTCACATGCTGTCAGCGATGTTGGTGTTTTTTTCATCATTTTGCCATGTCAGCGATTTGGGGTGTTGATGATCTCTGCTTGCTGTGGGCATCTCACGCAAGCTGTCACTGGAGTGACTTTCGCATTGCAGGGCCACGACTAGGTGACTAGCCTTGGGACCTGGACAAATCTTTTGCTAACACCTCGATCATCTGATTGCACAATCGATGGGCTGGAGGATCAGGGCCAGTGCGACTTATTTTCCACTCATTTCGATCTTCCCCGACCAACACCACCCTGACACGCGCGTGCGTGCGAGCGCACGTGTGCTGTGGATGTTGGCGGGTTCGAGAGGCAGCAAGGGGGGATGGGGGTGCGGAAGGGACTGCAGAATGTAGCAGGCACAGTTTGCCAACTAGAGCCGAAACATTCTTTTGATGCCAGATGAGATGCCTTCAATTCAGATTCAGTTGTATTGATTTTGACTTGCTGTAGAATTTGTTTTGTTTTGATCACATGAGGGCCCAGGATCAAGAATCTGAGGCTGTGGGTCAAAACCGCGGAACCTTGGATGACCACCCAAAATGAACAGAATAGACTACCTCGGAGGTGAACCTACCCTGGTTTGGGCCTCGGGGGTTTTGACCCACTGCCGTATACCGTATATCTTATAAGTTAAGGACAGAGTACGAAGTGATGAGTCAAAATCAAGGACCCGACCCGGAAGTGATGTCGACGATTCGGTTGACTCCAAGCGCACCGGATTCGGTTGATGGCTACCCAAGGTGGAGGTTGACCCCCTGCCCCGCAGAAAGCCGCTGGAAACGCAGAAAGCCTTCGTGCCTGCGTGATTGCTCATGAGTGAAAAGAAAAGACGACGGTATTTTCCAATGGATCCCAGTGGAGAACATGTTTCATCAGCAAGTGCCTTCTAACGCGAGAAGCCAACAACATTTCGGGTTATGTCGGATCCGCCTGGGTCACGACATACCCAAAGTGGATGAACTTCACCTTGCAGACTGACAGGGATGTCATGGGGGAAGGGGGGGAAGGCATCAGGGCGTATCGATGATGGCAGGGACCCTGGATTGACCCGAGTCACGTATATTTCTTATCAATCCATGTGAGCAGGCACGAGATTAGAGGCACGAGACTGCTTTGGTTTTTGTTTGAAAGTTCTTTCCAAGAAGGTGCTCATATGCAAATGCAAACCCTTTCAAGGCCCAATATGGGACAACTGACGGTCTTCCATCTGGATATTTGGCTTCCAGCTGACCACCTGTAAACCCGCCACAAAAGACTGCACGTACCCTTTCAGAAACTAACCGTCCCTCGGTAGAAGAAGAGCATCTTCTAAACCAGCTCTGCAGTTTCTGTGTTTAGCTATTCACCAGGGAATCACCTGAGAAACCTTCTTCTTGTTCGAGCGCGCCCAAGGGGGGCTGGTTCCACAGGGATCCAAAAAGAACGGCATCGACCTCGAGCAAAAGATAGTTTGAGCCAACATCGGAAGAAATTTGTGCTCCGCCGTCGGTGTCGTTCGAGACACATGCAGGGATATGCTTCATTACATAGGGGTTACAAGAAGGCAAGCCATATCCGTATGAGGCATTATGCACACCATTTTTTGTATATGTTTGTTGTTGGTTGGGTGCAATCAAATATCTGGACAGTCAAGATCGTCGACGGTCCGGCCGTCGCATTTCACGAAACGGATCCTTTCCGAACCCTCGGATGCTACCACGGATCCTGAGGGACCGCCCGCTGGAGTTTGGGTCGGAAACAGCGGTGTGGATGGATGAAGAACGATATTGTGTCAGCCCAACAGACTCCACTGCCTTGGTGTGGAGGAAGATTCAAGGGATGACAAGTAGGGAGGTTTTGGGAATGTTAGCTTGCAACACACACACACACACATCATTGATTTAGTAGGCTGCATTCCGAACCGCCATGTGACACCTCCTGATCTGCCCCAAGGGGTCCTTTGGGGTCCTTAGGGGTCCTTTGGGGACCTGTCTGTCCCAGTGCTCCAGTTGCGTTCTTGGATCGTGTAGAGGTGCTGCCCAGCGCAGTGACACCTGTTATCCGAACTTCAGCGTGCGACTGGTTGGAAGATCGTGACACGATCACCGGGCACTGCTGACATCTTCGTAAAACACCGGCACAGACCCCCAGCAACGAAGTATATCTATGCATATCACTCTAAAAACAGAAGCACCTGAGACAAAAGATGAAGCAATTCACCCAAAAAAGACCATGAGAGCTTCCAAGTGGGGAGACAAGTAAGGAGAGCAGCGGCAGCAGCGGCCAAAACGCGGATCACACAGGTAGACGACAAGTGGGGAGACAAGGCAGTAGCGGCAGCGGTGGAGCAAAACGCCTAAAACGCCACCCTTCTTCATTAAGAAAGAAGAGCCACCGAGTAGCTTTCAGCTCCTTGGGGAGAAGAATATCGTGGACGACACATGTGACGCACGACACATCGCAGCGAAGACGTGGTTCCTGCGCTTTCGCACGACACAGTTGGCGCCTGATCGATCGGTCCCCAAAGGCCGTTTGTGATCTCCGGGTGTTCTTGGCCGTTCAACGACTTGTTTTCTCTCCTGCAGTGTCATTCGTCAATGTAGGTTTTTCAGGTACTTGATGGGATTTTCAGACCGGTGGCCAAAGGTGCCGGAGATTTCGATCTTCATGCGAACATGAGGAACGGTTGCACAAGAATGTCTCAACATGTTTTGCTCATAAACCGCCGCATGGTCGGTCGGAGCGCCACTGAAATCCAAACGCCCTTTTCTGTGGTTTGGGGTGGGCGTGACGCGGACACCCACATCCACCAGCAGATCCCTAGCCAGGCCCTAGCCTCGTCGCGGATGTGGCTCAAAGAGATGCCCTCCCCAAACAAACGGCGGAACGTGGTCTTCAGAGGTCGAAAGCACAGCATGGTTCATTGAACACCTGTGTCACACATGACACTTCCTCCAGGTCTTCTCTCTGTTCGAAGGTTCGAAGGCACCCCACAGAGGTACCGTGTTTGGCTAAAAAACACCAATGTTTGGTTCACGACACCCACAGCCAACCCCACAGATTTCAGCCCGTCCCGAAGCGTGCACCGCTGCTACCAGACTGCCCTGAACCACACGCTTTCCGGACACCGCGGCGGGGGGCGATTTTGGGGGGGGCACCACCTCCAGCCCCAATGGCCGGGGGTCCCAGTCCCGAGTTTGGCAGCTCAGGTGGGGATTTTATCCGAGTTCGCAGCATTTTTTAGTTTGGCCGCTCAACAGGTCGTTTGGCTCAATGAAGTACACCGGGGTCTGGCTCAACCGGTCGTCTGGACCAGGTGACTGGTATGGTCTCACTGGTATGGTCACTGCTCAACTTGCAGGTGCAGTGGTGGTAGATGAAGACAGGAAATCAGTGGGGAGGCTCCAAACGCGATTGAAACGCGATCGAGCCGTCGAGACAGGCGCCAACATCACTGGAATTACAGATCGGAAGAATCGCGAACGAGGAATTCGGTGGTGTGGATGCCGGGATACCTCACTCAAACATACCAAAAACCCGGAGAGTTCGGTGACCCTCTCTGAAATGATGGTATGGCATGACCCCCTCGAAGGTGGTCTGTCACCTGGAACCAGGGATCCCAAGCACATCGGGGAGTCAGGTTTGGACCACCTGGTCGGTCACGAAGCCTCATTTTTCACGTGGAAGAGTCTGAAGCTCGCGACGAGCGACGAGCGACGAGTCGACGTGTGGAAGAGGTCGAAGATGTTCCCAGGAGAAGTTGCTATGGGAGGAGAACTTCCACTGGTGACCGGATACAAACACAGGCACAAACGGGCACACACGATGATCATGAAACTTGTTGTGAACATTTGGAACACTCTGAGGCACCATCCCGATCAAGGTCATCCTGGAACAGTATATATCGACCTATATCATGATTCCATGTCGAAGATTCAACTCCAAGTGGCTATCTCTCAAAATAAGCGGAACACACCCCTGGTGCTTGGAAAAGACACTGGGACGCTCCAGATCGTATGCTCGAAAATGGAGATCAATGGAGCATTCGCCTATCAAAAGGCCCCGTACTTGCCTGGTTCGTCCGTGACCGCGCGTGACCTGATCTGCCAACGAAAGGTCACTTCGAAGTGACGAAAGCCTCATGTACTGGTTCGGGTCCCGATAGACGATCCGTGATGCACCGGGCCGACCCTGTGTGCGGTGGACTTGGTCTGCCGGGATGAATCCCTACCATGTTCACGAACCACACCTACACAGCACGCACGTGCGGTTCCGGAACCTACTTCGGTTTCGAGTCCAGACCTGGATCCTGAAGGCCTCAAACGATGAGCCAGTTGGCTTAGATTGATCAATCACCAGCCTTAGATCAATCCCCCCAGACCCAGATGTGTTCTCCCAACAGTGGTGGAAGAACCCTAGTTCGACTATCCCAGTTCGGTACCCCAGTAAGGTCCTAGTTCAGGTCACTGGCTACCTCTCTTGGTCTTGTCTCTGCTTGCTGCCTCCAACCTCGCTTTCCCATCCAACCCACCGCTGGATCCGACCGGGGTGTCGTGCCCCGTACCGCCTCCCGTGTCGAGCTGGTGGTCGGGACTCCGCCGAGGTCCCGGCTGCTCGACGAATGCGAGCCGGGACACCTGGTGCGGCGCAAGGGACTTCTTTTGGGGCTTTGGGGTTTGGGAGATGCTTCAGCGGTTTTGGGGGCTGAAGAGGCTGCTGGAGTGCTGGAGACGAAAAGAACGGGCATTCCGTTGGTCTTCGGATTCTTTGTTGGGTGATGATGGGGAAAGACGGATGGAAATGGCCTCCCAGGATGATTTGGATGAGGACTTCCTTTTTTGGAAGGCGGTGGAGTTGAGTTCCTATGTTGGGGAAGGATGGGGATGGTAGATGGGTGGCAGTTCTACTTGGATAGGATTGATTGGCATATTTGAGTCCGACACTAGTTCTAGTGTGCAGTCCTTTCAATCTTTTCATGTCTTTTCTCAATTGAGCTTTGTGCTTCATGAGTTTGTGGACGGCGGTTGACGAGCATGCCTTCATGTGCTTGAGATACGACAACTCAGTGATCCCTTCACAACGGGCCGGCCCTTCACTGGGAGTCGAAAACGGAAGAGGCTGACATTCCTATCAGATCATCAGCATGAACTTCACCAGTCTGATATTCCACTCTGTTGCTTTGCATCCAGTCATGAAGCAGTCTTCCCCCTTCTCCACCCGCCTTGGGGCAGGTCCCTCGGGCTCTTGACCGATGCATTGGATGGGTCGACCCCGGGACCAGCCCGGTTCGAACACGCCACATGCAACACGGCAGGTGGGGCCGGTATGGACAGGTGGGGCCCCCGAACCCCCAAGCTCCAGACGCCCCCAGTGGTGAGGGGAGGGCAGCGTTGGGGCAGCGTCTGGGTGTGGACGGTTTCAATCTCGCAACATGCAACGCCCCAAAACGACATGGAATGGGACGTTCTGGCCACGGCTCCCATTGCGGCGAGCCGTGGCCGCCACCCAAGAGGCCAAAAAGGGGTGAATCCCAACTGAGAAGGAAGAGGTCTTGTCATGAAGGCAACTTGGAATTCCAAGACACCATTGCGAGGTACTCTTTCCCGAGCCCTAAAGCAGAAAGCACTTGGGGAAGCGGACAACACAAAACCTTCTGAGAATGGATTCTGCAGGATCCTCATCCATCCACCATGACTTTCATGACTTCCACGCCGCTCATGGCGTCTCCGCCGCCGCGACCTGCGCCGCGACCTCCGCGTCTCCGGTCCGGCGGTCTGCTGCCGAGCGGTCGGAGCGGCCTGCGGCTCCGAAGGAGCTCTTCTCAGGCGGGTGTGCAGGGTGTACCGGTCGACCAAGATGGGCGAAGAAAGAGGGTTCTGACCAGGAGAAAACCAAAAACGGGGAGAAAGAATGGACCAACCGCAACGATCATATGGGTGTCTACCCAGCCAGGACGAGGCTCCCAATATCAACATACCCAGGTGGTTGAAAAGGCGGTGGTTTTGGGGGTTCAGTCAAGACGGGGGAAGATGGCAAATGCGAAGCAGGTATTGTTGTATGGTCCTTTTGCCACAAGGAGGCAAAGCTCTTGTCTCAAAAGTCACAAACTATTATCTCCACAGGAGTTGGAGGAATACATGTTGCAACACTTCAATTTCCAAGACTCTAACTCTCAGGAGGTTCTTTCTCACAAGCAGGTGCAGGATTTTCTCCCATTCACCCATATTATCCCTCTTGGCCTCAATATGTCATGTTGTTGGTTTTGATTCTGTGTGACTTTCGCTTACGCCGTGCCTGGCCTTGCTGGGTCGAGTGGTGACATGCCTCTGCAAGACGTGAGTACGCACCTGCAGGATGCGGATGGCACCTCCGGGGGCCTTGGAAGACTTCGACCCCCTACTCAGTCTTCAACCTTGAATCACCACAGCTAGATCGATCGAACAGGTGGAAGAAGGCTAACCTTTATAGATCGATCGAACAGGTAAACTGAGAGGGTCAGGCCTCCCAACGTGGATCAACGCAAGTCCATGGCACGGACCCCCTCGTTCGGCAGGTGCTGCTTCCCCTGCTGACGTTGCAGGCCTGCCGTCGGCTGCCCAAAGATGCAGACATGGACATCGGGTACCATCCGGATGGTCAAAGAATATGTTTGGTCCTGGTTCAAGTCCTGGGTCATCCTTGGAGCCACAAGAATGACATTTTTAGGGATCCAGTCGCACCTTCTCAGGTACGGTGATGTGTTGGTGAAGGTTCTTCAACGTGACCGAACTTGATCCCCTGGTTTGACTTAGTAGGCCTGGAAATGGTCACTTGGGGACTCCCAAAAGGTCACTGCAAGAACCTGGTTGGTGAGGCTTCTATTTCCCCCTAGTTGGTTGGTCTCGGGTCTTGCCTCCCACAGACCAGGGTCCTACTAGTTCTGGTCTCTCAACCTCTCTTGGAGAGTTTCGGTGAACCGAACGATGTTGTCACATGGGTGGCTTGGGGTAGTGGAAACCACCGTGTCCACTTTTCCCCGCCGATTTAGAGGTGATCCACAGGTGATCCAGGGTTCTTTCCATCTGCACGCTTTTGGTTTGAATCTGAGTGCATTAATATATAAGTCTGTAAAAAGAGCAGAGTGGAGTCAGAGTAGAGGAAGTCACATCTGTTTTTCCAGCCCAAGGTCTTCGAGGGGCGGATTCGGGCGACTTGAACAAGATCGTGCACCGTTTCACGATCGAACGCAGCCCCCCAACTGTGCCCCGTCAGAGTCTGGACCCGTTTTTGGTCTGGCCCGTTGCTCGCGGTCCGGGTGGTACATACCTGGATCTTCCAATGGTGTCAAAGTTATGCTTTTCCATCTATAAAACCAGCCAAAAGACTGAAATTTGGCACAGTTGGAGGATCTAGGTATATGCGATGCTAAAAGGGGCTGTTCACCCTGTCTTGGCTTTCTTCTTGTTTTTCAAAACATCGATTGGACAAGAACAAAACAATCGCAGCATCCGGAGTCAGGCCAAGTGGTAACTAGTGGATCTCCCGAAGCAGAAGAGAAAATCTCCGGCTTACCTTTGGACCATCAGGACATCATATACAAGTCAGGGTCCAAATATTGGACCAGTGACCATGTTACAAAACATCTTAAATCTGGAAACCCATTCTAATCCATTTGAAACACATTGAATCCATTCACATCATTTCATCCCCTTCGCCCTCCGCGAAGCATCGCCCAGTCTTCGAGGTCGTTCAGTGCCGGCGCCCAGACGAGGTGCCCGTCCATTCGGGGCGCCGATGGCGGAAGATCGAAAGGGAGCAGTGGAACGCCGTCACATTCAACAGTAAGAGCCGTTTTCCAAAGGACCATGCCATCCACTTTCATATGAGTTAGTCACCAAGAACCGAAGATCTGATCCGACTGTCCGAAGACGAAGACGACGAACGATGCACCGCGAACACAGATCTTCCGCTGTTTTCAGGAACAGAATCTCTGGAGGAAGGGGGTCACCTATTCATGGAGCACCACGTTTGGGTCCAAAGTCCTCCCAGGGTTGGTAGCCAGAAGGCGCTTTTGTCGCCAGGGAGCGGCAAACGGAGCCGGCATCGTGACTCGAACGGAGCGATCGGACGCGACTCGAACGGGGGCGCTCCTGGCCTTACTACTCTAGGAACAAGAACCAAGACTGGTTGAGCTCAGCCCTTTTTTTTTTTGGCCCATCGCATATGTACCACCACAGGCTCTATGCTTTCTCAACCTCTCTTGGAAGCTACTAGGACTTTCAGTCGCCCTCACGGCGAGTCCGACCGGTCCCCGCGGCGTTCGTCCGCCCGAGCCGACTCCGTCTCTGACCCCGAACCGACGACGAGGAACCGGACGCGTTGGGGTCCGCGGAAACGGCACCCGAACTGGAAGCGTATGTTTATATGCGAGTCTGTTGGTACCATCCGAGTCGGACTGTTTTTTCGGGGATCTGACGAAGGGACCTGCATGATTGTGAATTTCCTTTACACTCGCTGGAATCACCATGAACGTGGATGGCATGGCCCTGAAAGGAGGACCCTTCTTTGGAACACCAAACTTCATCAAGGAGGCTGGCACCAGTCGCCTCCAGTAGCGGGGTCTTAGGCATTTTTTGGGTTCCAGAAGGCCCCAGATGCCACCGGCCTTTTGGTTTCCTTTTCTTTTTTGTGTGTGTTTTCCTCTCCGACCCCTTAGGCCTTGAGGCCCTCTCCTTGGACACCAAGCCCAGGGCCCAGGCGCAGGCGCGGAGGGCGCGGGCGACTTACGGCGCGGGCGTCTCCGCTGAACGAAAAGCATGGGTTGAGACGCGCGGGAGTTGTTCTCGATATTTCTCAAATATATATATATATATATAATAGCCTATAGGGCTCCAGACACCTCCTGAGGGTTCGGTGCTTGGGTGCCAGAAAGGGAGGAGATGGAGGTTTAGGCCTTTGAGTGACCGGAGCCCGAGCCGCACTGCAGCAGATCCAAGAGGTCGGACCGGGTCGAGAAGGTGACCGGGTCGGGTCTGGGTACCAGGACCTTGCAAGAGGTGTCCATAAATAGCCTCTTTAGTGGTGATTCGGGGTGTGAAGCCACCGGGTGTGAAGGAAGGGTCCTGGTACGACTCGAAACCTGTCAGGTCACCAGCTGCGACTTTGAAGTCTGATGGTAATTGGAGACCTTCGACTGTTGAGGGTTTTGGTGCTGGTAGGGATTGAGGGTTTAGGTGTTTAGGGGTTGGTGGTGGGAGAACATATCAAAAAGGGACTTCCCTACTCTTGGCCGGTTGATTGGAACCGGTACTTCTCCCCCTCGCCGCCCCTCGTGGTTTCAGCTGACCGGCCCAAAGGCACCAGTGGTTCCGCCGAGATGACGTCCCACGGTACATCGGTTCCCTGCGCATTCGGTGCGTGACTGCGCATTGCGGTGACCGCGCGGAATCCGAACCGTCTACGTATGTCGACGTAGACCGTTCGATAGACTGATCTCCCTCAGGATCCGGGCCTTTGAGGGACTCTTAGACCACTGAAACAGGAGCCCCTGGGGGATATCTGGCGCACTGGAACTGTTTCGACTTTTCGAGTGGTGAAGAAAAAGCCTCTGTTTCTAGCCATTCTTTAGTGGAAGAAGCGCCAAAGCAGACATGTCTGGGGGTGCCAACTCCCTGTGCGAAACGGAAAACATTCTCAACTTCGTCAGTGGAATTTGGCTTCTTCCAAGTTTTCAAGCACGTACCATCTTCGTTACGCTCCTCAGGAGCAGCAGCTGGCAGCGTTTCGTGCCTGGCTGAAAGAAGGCGGCCCACCAGCATGGTGGGGGCGCGCCGGGCGCGCGCGCGATGGACGGGGTGGGCGCAGGGCGATGGCATCGTGAGGGCCTGACCTGAGCAGCGGAATGTCATGGAACATCGTCGGTTCTTTCCCAGACAATCCATGCGATAGACAACAGATTTACCCACATTGGATGGCTTTAAGATTCAATTTAGGTAAATATATGGGATCAAGCCTGCGTTTGGCTAGGGGATGGCACGGAGGATGAGCAACATTGCCAATGAACACTATGAGATGAGGAAGCGAGCACGTGATTGGCGCGGCTGTGACTCTTTTAAAATGATGGAATGTATGGCCCACCATAAACTCACTGATAGTCAACTGTTGTGCCTTTAATTTACTGGAAGTCGAAAGAAGAAGACCACCACCAAAAGAAGAGAAGTGGGAATCGCCTGACAGAGTCACCGCGGGCAGAACGATGAACGTGGACTTCCCCATCGAAACGGAGAAAACATCCACAGCGTCCAAAACCGAACCTTTTTAACCTGGAAAAAGAATGTTCCCAACCCTAAACCCATCCACCCATCCGCCGAACTCTCTCTCTCTCTCTCTCTCTCTCTTGTTGCGCGCGCCCAAACCGTCCACCGTCACCGCGGCCACCGGAACCGCCGCGGTTTGTCAGGAAACGCGGCGGTTCAGTCGCGCGGCGTCCGTCTACAGCGCTCGCCCTTGGGAGGCTGCCGCAATGGACACAACGTGACACGGCAGGGTTCTGGGGAGAATAATTTTTGAGGAATCGGGTTGGTGTTACACTGACGAGCTTCCTCCACGTTCAGTGGTTTTGAGGTTCGGGGGTCTCTTCCAGGGTGTAATCCCCTCGAAGTGCTTCCGTGTGCATCACGACCTGGGCCTCTTGGAGCCGTGTCCAGGCCTGGGCCTCTTTGCACAGAAGAACTTTCCGCAGGCAGGGGAGACCAGGCCTCACGTGTATGGGAAGGTTGATTCCTTGATGCTCAAACCATGGTTTTACCTAGGTTTATTGGGGTTGAAATAACTATACAATAAACTATGCAATGTGCATGTTCGACACAAAACTTAGAGATGAACGCAGCATGAAGTGGGCATGTCTACAATCACTCTATTTCTGGACCCTTACAAATTCTTTAGTTCTGTCTCTCCATATTCACCATAATCACTATTTATTTTGGACCCTCTAACAAATTGTTTGCAAGCATAGTTGGAGATGCTTTTCGACCCCCCTTGACATTGTCCATTTTTCAGAGGGGTGCAATAAAACTATACACTTGCAACCAGCTGATGCATATGCAACCGTAATAAACTATACAATTGCAACCAGCTGATGCATATGATGCAGTCATGAAAGATGTATTGCAAGACATAGACTGTCGAGAGGAGTTGTTTGTTTGCCTTTCATGGACCTAGTGATGCAAATGATGCGAAGATGAGAACTGTCAGACATGAATGATGTGAAAGCCACGTGTTTCTCCACTTTATTCTCCTTCCCACTTGTCTCCCAGACACACCTCATGATTCATGCAGGATATGCATTTTCGTTTCCAAACGAAACCGCACCAGCAGTATCACGCCCCTCAGCACCTTTGGCGTGGGCGGATTTAATAGGCTGAGCCTTGATCTTTGCCGAAGTACGTTTCACTCAGGATTTTAAATTGTAGAGATCAGCCATGCTCGTTCCCATTTTTCTCGAGTGCATAGCGAAGGGTTCTCTAACTTTGGGAGTCTGCATGGGGTAGAGTCTTGTTTGAGAGTCTTGTTCGTGACGTGTTGTCGTAGCGACCGCAACCGTCCGCATGCAACTGTTCGCGGTTGGGTTGCGAGGGCGCGGACAGTGGGGGAAGCTTTTGGAGGAGGTTTAGGATGAGACATGAAGTGTCAGATTCGTGTGAAATAGCTTGGAAACGTCAAATGTTCAAGTGTGGAGGATGATTTTGCTGCGCAGGTGCAGGGTTTTGTGAAATCCTTAGTTGTCTTCGCTGTGAGATTGGGATTGGCGTTTAGAGGGTGGTGTTTTTGAGGTGTTGGATGTGGCTGTGACATTGGGATTTGCGTTTCAGGCTGTTGCTTCGAAGTGCTGTTTTCGTGACAAGTCTCAGCACAAATTGCGGTTTTGGTGGATGTGAGTGCGCGCAGAAGGTGTCGAAATCATTCCAAACGTGGAGTGGTGTGGTGCAAAATTTGCTGAAGGCATGAAGATGTCATTTCGTCACTTTTCGCGGCAGTGGGCAGTACTTTGCACGTGTTAGAGGCGTCGAAGTTGAATTTCCGTGGCGGGCGCAGGTAATCGTGAGGTTGTGATGTTTGGTGGAGGTGAATGTTCCTGTGACTGACAGTAGGATTGGTGTGTCAGTGGGTGGGTTGTGAGGGGCTGGGATTGCGAACCTGCTTGGCAAAAGTGCAAGCAAGTCTCGTACGAAGCGCTCGTTTTGGTGACGTTGACCTGCGACTTTTGGAGGAAGTTTTTTCGACACGCTTGTTTTGGAGATTTGACATGTGACCTTTAGGGACGGCGTCGGCTGGGCGTCGGGATTTCCACGATTTCGCGCAGCGCGAGGCCCGAACTTGGGTTTCTGGGGTGTTTCTTTGTTTGCTTTCGTTTTCGTTTTCTTGTTTGGGGTCCGGTCTTGGTGGTTATTTTTCTTGCTTGTGCACACTAAGAAGCGAATGCTGGGATGAAAAGATAAGGCGCAGGGTTCAGGAAGGAAAACAGCAAAGGAAAGCGCTGAGGGAGGCCATGTATCCAAAGAGCACAAGAAATATGAAAAGAGAGATTTACCGGAAAGCCGCGAAAGAAGACCTGTCAAGATGGGATGTTCGACCATTAGGCCTGTAGGGGGTTGTAGCTCCGTTTGGGAGCTTGCGGCAAACCATTGTGTTGCTAGACGCGGGACCGGGCACTGCCAGGGCTCATAGCATATGCTCAGTCACGTTTTGCGTCAGGATTTTGGCTTTGTAGGCATCAGATTTTATCGCGCCGTCTCACCATGCAGACCAAGAGTCGAGCTATGAACAAGCTTCCGGCGATGCTGCATTGAACGGTCCACAAAGCACTGCACCTGAAATGACATCTGCACTTCAGGGTCCACAAAGGGCCCTCAGGACTGAGCAAGTCCTTTTTGGCGGGCGTCCTTAACAGCGTCGACACCCAGATCATCGCGGTCTACGGAGATGATCTGCTACAGCCAGATGCTGTAGTGGTGTCGCGCTGTGCGGACGCCGCCCTCGAAGTTGTGGCCGCGGCCTCGGCCAAAAAAGGCCTCGTTCGCCGGCTCCTCCGTGTGCTGCAGGACTGGTCTGAATTCCCGAAGGCGCCTGCAAAGGGCTCTCCTTTGAGAACGGCTACCAACTTCACCTGTCTAACATATTCAACATCATCATCATCATCATCATCGTCATCATCGTCATCATCATCGTCTTCGTCTTCGTCTTCGTCATCATCATCATCATCATCATCATCGACATCGCGTTCAGGTTCCTCATCATCAGCGTCATCATCACCATCATCATCCTATGAAGTTGCAGAGACGCAGGTGATTGATATGATTGTCAGGGGTCGTCGTTATCAAGTGCATAGATGAAGGGAAGCACACATGGTGAAACACGTCTACACAGATACAGGTGTTTGGATACTGGTATCGAGACACCGGTGTGTAGATACAGGTTTTGAGATATAAGTGAAGACACAACATGTGAATTTGAGTTGTGCTTGGTGAACTCTGCGGAGATTGCGCGTGTCGAACGCAAACAACGACGACTATTTGAAGCCTTTTCTCGACTTGTGGATGAAGGCGCGTGGGCATTCAGGTTGCGTCCTGCACAGCACTCAGCACTTTTGCGATCGTGATGATGCGACCGCGATTCTGGAGTTAGAGATCCACGGCTATTGCAGCAGCGATCATCATGACTGAAATATTTGCGAATTCATATCAGAATAAATATGGTTTTTCTTTTCTAAGATCTTGTGCGCATGGTACGCGAACAGAAGTTGTCTGCAGCATACTATAGCTACTATAGCCTATGCCCACAAGAACTGAGGAAACGCTGGAGATAGAACTCGCGCTTTCTCACTTTTGCATTGAATATCATCGCCATCCTGCTCATCACCCTCGTCCTCATCGTGAGACATCATGACACTATGTCCTCGCTGCTATGCTTTCGGGCCACCCTGTCATCTACGCTTTTGACCTTCTGATGCCTTCTGCGTTGCGTCAACCACCTGCATCTCTACACTTTGATGATGATGATGATGGTGATGATACTTGGACAGTTGAAGTGGGCAGCCATTCCTTAGGGAGAGCCCGGGAAACACATGTCCTTCTCGGCTGGTTTTCCTGAGCCGTTTGGCAATGCTGTCGGCTCCTTTCAGCTCTATGGCAAGTTTTTGCAGGAGCAAGCAGCTGCGGCGGGCTTGCGGGAGATGGTCTTGAAGCCCGTCCCCAATGCTAAAATGTATTGGGGACGGCGTGGCTTCCGACCGCAACGCAAGCCCCCAATGTGGGTCCTGAAGATATAAAAAACGGAGGGCGCGTGACACGCAACACGCATAGCAATTGAAACGAATTCAATAGGGCGTTAGCCCAGATGACACAGCCTGTAAATCCACTGTGCCACTGTGACCGGTTTCGCTGGACACGGCGCGCCGCGATTGGGGGTGGCGCAAAGCCTCGACGAATCAGTTGACAAGGCCTTCACGAGATGGGGCCACTGCGATGAGTCATAGCTATCTGGAACAGGTTGTCCGCTAGCCAACTGATACATGCCAGTTGAGCAGGCTCACCTTCAAGCCACATGTCAATGCATGGCCCCAATCGCTTTGACCAGTTGCGCGCTGTCTTGTCATGCGCGCGTGCGGCACCAGCTGCACGCGCCTTCAACCTTGCCATTCAATGCCGCTGCCAGCGTCCAGCGCTCAAGGATCAACCAAGCCGGCGTGGATAGCTGAAGGCCAGCCATGCCAAAGCATCTGGCGGACCGCGGCGCGCGGGGCGTGGAAGGCATCGAGTTTGCGTATGATTGTCTTTCGGTCCACGCTGCGGCCAGTGTTGAGCCCTCCCTATTCAACGATGCTGTGGCCGAGGCGCGCGTCTAGGGCCATCTTGTTAAGAACGATGCGCTGGGATAGACAAGTGATACATAGACAATGTTCAAGATAAACGTAGGACACGGTAGAAAAGTAAAGAGAGGGAAACGTAAAGCAGAAAAAAGATGAAGAAAAAAGAGCAAAGAAAGGCTTTAACGTGAGATTGAATTTACGAAGCAGCAAGAAGAGCTAACCAAGACCCCTTAGAAAGCCGACGTGAGCAAAGACGTGATGGTGATGATGATGGCCGGTGATGTGGCGATGGCGGTGGTGATGAAGGTGATCATGGTGGTGGTGATCGTGGTGATCGTGGTGGTAGTGATGGTGGTGATGATGGTGGTGGTTGAGCGACTTGGGGGGTTAATTGTAGGTATACATGTTCCAAATCACCAACATTTCAAAACTTTTGATCTATCAAGCAAGCCAAATTTGAGTGTCCCAGGCAGGTCGTCCCAGATCGGCCGTGTTTGGGAATGGTCGACGCGTCGACTCTCTCGGAGTCGCGGGGCTTCCGCGGAGCGTAAGCTCGGTCGCATGGCCAGAAAACGCGCAGGGCGCGGTGATCTTGGAGGTGCCCTTTGAGAAGTGTCTTGAGGTTCGGGTGAAATAATGTTGGATGGAAATGTTACTTGTGCGTCACTGCGTGACCTATGTTGGACCACCGACCGCCCAAAAGAGGTTCTTTGCATAGCTTTGCTTATCAAAAACCAAAAGTCCTGTCTGGGCTCTAGAGAATGTGGAGAAGGTTCGGTGAGTTGGGCGTGGATGATTGTGGTAGGAGGAGTTCGCTGGGCCAAGGTAGGACCTTGGTAGAAAGACCCTGCAGCCCAGGCACAAACCGTGTTGGTATCGTGTGCTTAGCACATTTTGAATGAAACGCCTTCATATCAAAAACACAGTCGATGACACTGTTTACACTGGGGTGTACTAACATGGAAATGGAAGAACGCTGTTTCTAAAGAACAAGGGTCTTCCAAGGGCCTATGCCATCTACTTCCGTGTGATGTGTTCGTCGGAGTGTATCACATAGATTCCGCGGAGCGTAGATGGATTGTTGGGGGAATGCTACTAAAACCGAAGCGAACTAATACCATTTTGTGCACTTTCAGATCTACCAACATGGAGTGCAACACTTCTGGGGCATCTCTTTTTCTGTGGCTTTTGACCAACTCTTCGATTTTCCACAGCGGTTGACCAATCTTCCATAGAAAAAGAACCCGCGCAAAATCATCGTCACATCCGGATCGGGATTCTGCGCAGATTCCCAGTTCTTCCATCGGGAGAAAAGAACACGCTGTTTGTTGGATTGGTTCGCCTCCCAGGTCTGCGATCGAAAGCACAAGAAAAGGGCAGACGGCAGACCTCTTCCAACGACCCGTTTGTTTTGTGCCTTTCATCGATAGAACCAGCCAAGTTCGGCAGACATTTGGCACACTTGGAGGATCTAGGTCTTTGTCTCATTCGGTGTTTTTTTGCTTTTTTTTTTTTTTCCGAATGAATAGTGAAAGGAAGGGTATATTGGTTGAGTGTTAAACATACGTGTATTCATTCGGGTTCGTGGGTTCTATCAGTTTGTTTTTCTATTTGGGTCAATATAATAGGATTGATGAAGCCTCCACTTGGCTGGGGGATGGCATGGGGCATGAGCAACATTGCGATTCACACGCAGAGATGGCGAATGGTGGCGAATTGAGGCTCATGCTGAGTTGGACGTGCCCCCGACCCCCTTTTCCACCAGGTCGATGCCCACCATTTCGACCTCGACGATGCCACGGTCTTGCAGCCGATCCTTGCGCGGGCGCGTCTGGTGGGATCCGGTGCGCCGGTGGGCCACCGGGGAGAGAGTGGCTCCGATGAAGCCTGATGACCCCAAATCTTGACTCTTGTTCCAAGCAATCTTAGATTTCAATGATTGAGCTAGTGTATTCAGAGTTGAACTGGAATAGTACCTGGACAAACACCAAATAGGTGTGTAGCTTAAATAGGGAGACCATCCCACACGTTCCGACCCCGGATTGAAATTGACCAGTCTACCCAGTCAGGACCCCCTATTACACACCCAAATCCCTTTCTGATGACAGAGAGGTTTCGCAATTGAATTTGTTGCCCTTTGCTACGAAACTTCGTGAAACACGGCCCCCTTGTTCCGGGACGAAGGGAGGGACGGATGATGCAAATCTGTGCGTGAGGCGGCTGAGGAGTATGACGTGGACGCCTTTGTGGAGGTGGAGGCGCAGAAGGCGGTGTTGGCTTTGTGCCTGGACGCAGCAGGCGGTGATTTCAGTGGGTCCTGCAGTGTTCCTGGACCCGTCTGGAGATGTTTGAAGAACACTATGTTTGATCGGGGTGACGGGTCTTGATCCGCACATTCTGGGGGATTCTCCCACCAGAGAGGTAAAGCGCCACGAAGTCCTGAGGTGTCAGCGACTGCTGCTGGAGCGACAGCAGGGAGCCTCCTCCAAGTTCGCAGAGTACCTGGCGGTGATTCCTGCTACGCGGATTGAACATGGAATATACCTGGATCTTCCAATGGTGTCAAAGTTATGCTTTTCCATCTATAAAACCAGCCAAAAGACTGAAATTTGGCACAGTTGGAGGATCTAGGTATACTGTACGTGGGAGTTGATCTAACGGGGCGTGTCAGGGGTTTTACGTAAAACGACCTTTTTTACATTTATAAATGCTGTCCCAAACCGTCCGCGAAAGATCCGCGATGAGGTTCGCCCTTTTTTTCTTTTAAATGTTTGTCCATTTTTTCCACACAAAAATTATCGAAGGTCTTCATTTTGATATATGAGTTCCTTTCTACCGACCATATGGTTGAAATGCAAATCAATCCGCAGGGTTGGTGGGCGTCCCACATCTCCCCACATATCCATCGCCCAACGAAGCCTCAACGTGTCCTCCGATTCCTGTCCCCGCTGTCACAGACGAACAAACTGACAGCTCGCCCTCGCAGCCCTCGCAGCCTTGAGAGTACAGGCTTGCCGCTCGTTAACTCACAAACTTGCAACTGCATCACCCAACTGCGCAGTCCCCGACCTGTCCGCAACTCTGACAGGTCGGGCAGATGTTTGCGCACAATCAGCGTTTTCGGGGAACTCACTCGTGAAGTTTCGCAGTTCCGCGAATGTGCCGTTAAAGTCCCGCTTCCAAACTTGAGCCACCCCTGTGGTGGTAGTTGGCACGAAGGTCGGATTGAGTTGTGCTTGACTCCAACCCAAGCCTCCTCAGGATATTCCCCAAGGTTTGTCACGCAGATTTCTGCAAGTGACCCTGCAGCAGCATGCAGCAGCTGTAGCAGCTTCCGACCTTGTGTCTAGTTCGTTCTGAAGATGCCACTCGCTTGTTGTTGATCTTACAAACAGTAGTTCCAACACATTTCAAAGGTGGTTTCTCCTTAGTCTGAAGGATACCTTAGAAGTCTGCAGTTCGATGATGTTGAAGGGAAGCACCTTTAGACCCTTAAAGCAGCACCTGCTAGACCAGTTCCATTCGAGTCGTAGAGCCATGCTGCATCACTATGTGCCCATCACAGAGGAGACATCATCATCCAACTAGTGTTGAAGAACCTTTCAAGAAATAAGAGGACGCTACTAGGGGCTCCTGGCATCGCTACCAGGAGCTTTTTCACGCGCGCGTGGGTGTCCAGCCACCTCCGGCTGTTGAGTGCCATCTCTCACTGGACACATGATCTCCACGCAATGGACAAGAACATGAGATTGATGAAGTTCCTTTCTTTTTTTTTGTGGGGGAATGGGGTTCGTATTCTTTTCTTCACCTGTTGCACAAGTCAGGCAATTTGAAGAATCTTCGGTAAACTGTTCTAGTTGTTCTTCACATTGCTTAGCATTTGCTTTTGAAGATTTTTCGGTCTTCACCCTCACCTGGGGCCTTCTTCTTGGCATCTTATGAATCCAACAAAGGCCCCTACGAACCCTGCCTGCTTGAGCAAAGGATCCCTCAGAGCTGCATCCCTTGCAGCTGCGGTGGCCGAAGAGGCTCTCGGAGCAGAGCGCGCTGCTGTCGAGCCTCTTGGATGGGACGGCCCCAGCAGTGACGAAACGTCAGGTGCCGAAACGTCAGAAGGTTGAGCTTGGGTTTCAAGCAACGGATTTGCTTTCTGAGTTCCATGAAGCCCATGTTCAACTTTCAAAGGATGTATCCCAGGAGTCACAAGGACGGGGTGGGTTTTCTTCGTCCCATCCAGTGAGTGGATGTGACAGGGGCACCCCTATCCTCCAAGCTCGGCACCCCGTCTTGTGACTGCTGGTCTATATATTTCCTGAGCTTTGTTTACTTCAGTTGGCTTACTTCTGAGTTTACTTGGGTTGTAAGGTTGGTTGAAGTTCCATGGAATTGGGTGCCCAGTTCCGAACGGAGGAGTTTCTTTTTTTGTGTGTCCCTGTCACATCCACTCACAAAGACAAACTGGATTGGACTTAACATCACCCCGGACATGAAACTGCTGGAGGTTGGTTTAAGATGGTTTGCTGTCACCTCCCTGAGTCCTTCCTTTGTCTCAAGATGAGACCAGATTGCCACCAGACTGCCCAGAATTCTTGGGTTGCTGGGCCCTTTGTTGAGACCAAAGCCATGCTTGTTTGCCTTGGTGATCTTGGTGGTGATCTCCCTCGCTGTTTCAGCGATTCCTGAGCTGTCTCGGTGTGAGCAAAACGACCTACCAAGCCACTTCGAAACAAAACTCGGTTCCCAGGCCAAGCATAAGGAAACCAGCCAGGATCATCCTGTCTGGGTGTCCAATAGACTACCCTACCATACTTACAGGTCTCCAGACAGGGCACCCATTGGAAGTGCTAGGAGGGTTTCGTTTGGTCTACAGTTTTACTCTTTGGATTCCAGGGGATGCACCTTCGAAGCCTTCGACCCGGGTTTCTTGAGGAATGCATCACACGGTCCTGGAACGTGACTTGCTCTGAGACGCGAAGAAGACTGCGGGGGGGGGAAGAGCGCGAAATGGAGGGTGGTTTAGCATGGTTTAGCTAAAAAGGATCTTGGTGCCTGGTTTGCAAGGTGTGCTCAAAAATAGGGGGTGAAGCTGCACGCATGTGTATATACCTGGAGTACCCAACTGGGACAGTCCAAAAAGGGTTCTGAAAACCTCCGTTGGTTCCTTCAAGCTACTGTGAGTTCTCCAGGACTTCGCAGGACCTCGCAACAGCTCGCAGGAGCTCCAAAACAGCATTTCAGGGGCGCCGGCTCCTGGCCCTCCAATGAGAAACGATCACCTGGATCCCGCAGCACCCTTGTTGTACTGGTCACCAGGTCGTTCCCATTTCTTTTACAGTGGTCTTCGAAGGAAGGTAGCATTTGAGCTTTGGATCGATCTCTTTTCTTCAGCCGCCTCCATCCAGTCGCGGGGTGCCCGAGGCCCGTGGGGTGCTGGGGTGCCACTGTCACATCACATTCATTTGCCCTGGATGGGACCAAAACTTACCACGTGCCACCATGGAGCTGGCAGAGGCGACCCGATTCCAACCCGCAACCGGCGATCGAACCGTTCGGAACGGCGAAGCCGAAGCCGTTCGTCGACCCCATTCGGCGGCGACCCATGGCGGATTCGGTGCCCACAAGCCGCGTTCGGTTCAAAGGTTCAAGATAGCCCGTTGGAACTGGTCATTTTGGTCAGAACCTCCCAACTCTTGTGAAGGCTTTATTACTGAGACCCGAAAGTGAGGACTCTTCCCAGTCTGCTCCGCCTTTGTACGAGGTGACAATGCGTGTATGGAGGCTTTGCAGCCTTTTGAGCAGGCTGCAGGGAATCTTGAGACAGGGCGGACCCCTCCATAATTAGCAGGGGTTTGGACACGAACCAACCCAGAGCCAAGATCCTCCGCAACTTCACAGGAGCCTAAGTCCAGTTTCTGCAATTCCGCATTATTCAGAGGTCCTTCTCAACACCAAGTCCCAGGTCCCATGCCTTGATCCTTCCAGATTGAAGGATGGCTTCTTCCTTTCTTCTTCGCCAGCCTCGACCCACGCGACGTGACCGTCGGCCGGGACCGGCGCGACGGACGGAGTCGGGCAGGTCTGGAAGAGGCGCTGCTGGGCCTTGAACGCCGTGTGGACGCGCGCCGTTCACCTGGTGGGAGCTGAAGGAGAAGAGCGCTTGAGCTTAGCACCTGAGCGGTGGAAAGGTGTGAGCCTTCACAGGGAGAAAGCTGGGAGGTGCCAATTCCAAGTACATGTTGGTTTTTGCCCGTGGAGGCCAAGTACATGTGTCCTTGGTGGGCTCATTACATGTCTTAAGATACTTTAAGTCCACTACGGTAGATCTTCACATCAAGTCCACAGGTAGTCCTCAGGTCTCACATGATAGATCGCCCCATCCTCCCCCATCCACCCAGACCCAAAACGTCCGCGGGGCCGGCCGTCTTGACGGACTGGACGAGGTCGGTCGACGGACGAGGAGCGAGGTCGGTCTGACCGTCTCAGTCAGTCGAAGATACAGTCTTTGCGAAAGAGGATAGAGAAGGAGTCGGGACCTTGGGTCTACCCCAAGCCACACAGGGAACCGAGCACGCACTCGTTTCCTCCAGATGGCTAGGGAAAAAGAACAGGGGTGATGGTCTATTCCGTTCTCCAAGGTGCCCTTGATGGATTTCATGAACCACTGGACGCCCACGAGGAGCACATCAGAGCGCCTTGCAAGCAACATCCCTGCAGAACCAGATCGATAGAAAGATAATGAAAGATAGATAGAAGATGATAAAGGCAGATTGAAAGATAACAAGTATATACATAGGACATCATAGGACACATGATAGATCGACCAGTTGATCAGTTGGTGGATTTCTTTGTTGACTGAGGTGCTCTAGGATCAATGTGCCTGCTCAGGCCCAGCCAAGAACCTGTCCAGCCAACCCGTGCCCCCGACCTCTGAGCCTAGGGGCCTAAGGGGCCTGGACGCAAGCGAACCAACGGATCTTTTCCATTGGAGTTGGATTCTAAGGGTTGGAACGTCTCATCAGATTCTGGACCTGAAAGCAGTCGCACCAAAAGCCCATCAGCTTCGCAGCTATCATGTTTCGGACGATTTTGGCTGTCGGCTGGTTGCGTCTTTAAGAGAATCCCCGTTTGAAGTGAAAAGCACTGAACGACATCCTTCATCTCACCCAGGACTTGGTCCTGCTTCTATGAGATTGCCAGCGATCACCTCGCCGTACGAGCGGACGCTTTGCTTCGGGTCTACCGTGCGGGGGGTTGCTGTTGGGACGGGTGGCACGTGTTGCGGGGTCGCACACCGCTCGTGGTTTTCACCGGCAACCCTTAGGCCCCTTTGAGTCACTTAAAAACTCATCCAAAGAGCAGGAGTTTGCTATCCCTCCCTGACTGGACTTGGTCATACAAAACACCGAAAAGAACTACTCAAGGAGATCAAAGACCAGGTTTTACTGACCCAGACCGGGCGTACGCAGGGTCCGGTTTTTTTGATCGATTGACCTGCCACTGGTCCATTTGGGCAGATGGACTCAGGCTTTCCTGGGTGGCGGACGCGAGGGGAATGTGTGTGTATGTTTCTTCATACCAAAAACACGGACCTTGGAGCCTTAGACTGTCAGTAGGTTGGAGGCCATCGCTAGTAGCGGACGTCGGTGGTCTTCATACCCAAAACACATCGTCTCGTCACGACTTTCAGGGCCGTCGGGTCTCCTGGACGGGTCCGGTCCAGGTCCCGTCGGGTCGGAAGACCTGTGTGTTCCACGGTCCGTTGGACGAGGGAGTTGGTCCGCAGAAGCGTTCGGCGGCGGGGGTTGAGGCGTGAACTGGCGACCAATCCCATTCGGTTGGGCCGGTTGAGGTCTTCATGGTTTCCCCAGCTTCCTGGGCTTCTCGCTTGGCATCAGGGTTCCTGGGTTCGGGTTTTTGGGCGCGTCCGAATCAGCCACTTCTCGGGCGCCGGAGGATCCCCATGGAGGATCCCCAATCGCTTCAGGAGAGAGCGATTTCCAAAGGCGAAGAGCTGACCTTGCTCTATGGCGAATTTTCCGATGCCCAGCTGCTTTGCAACTATGGTATCTGCCCTGAGATGCCCTGCAGGACCCGAAAGGCGTGCGGAAAGATGAGTTGTTTCAGAATCACACACTCAGGATCCTGAGCTTGACATGCCAAGCACCCTCTTTTCATACGTGCTGGGAGTCCAAGACTCCTCTTAAACATGGCCTTTTTCGTGACCCTCACTCTCTGGAATTTCCTTCATCTCGGTGCTGCATATCGTTGAACTGGACCTCGGCTTCACTTCTAAGTCTCCCATACCTCTGGCCGTTCCTGGCCACGCACGAGGAACGGGGTGGAAACACATGCGGACGAACCCGGGTGTTTCAACACATGGGGGTGAAAAACAGATCATACCTGGAAACCCAAATGACCGGAAACACATGGTTGTTGCAAGTTCTGGCACTCCTTTACACAGCCAGCAAATGGCTGGGGAGTTCCATCCATTTATTTCTGCTTGGGACTGGAGGACATCCAGGTACAACTGCTGGTACAACTACCGTCGCTCCCCCGGGGTCCTTTGTTTTACCTTTTTGAGCGTGTGGAAAGTTCGGTCAAACCTGTATGTTCCAGGGACACTGAAGGTGGAACCGGTCATGTTCCTTCGCCAGTGGGCTGCCGCTCGATGTGTTTTGGCCAGCTTGAACCTGAGCAAGAGAGCAAGGGAGCAGCGGCGTGCAGCGTGCAGCGTTCGTCTCAGGGAGCGCGACATCTCTCAGTCAGCAGCAGCTCTTTTTGTTGTTTTGTGATGTTTTGTGGTAGCATGCTGTACAAAGGACGGGAGTTCATCATCAAAAGTAAAGTCAACATTTCATGTTTAGCTACAATAGACGTATACAGTATAGTGAAACTTCTGAATTCTACAGACATTTGCAAGTTGCATATTAGGACGTTGTTCAATTCTTTTCCGGGACACTTACTAGCGGAAGTCATTTGTAACCTATTTTGTTATTTCGAAAAACTGTTTTGACATAGACTCTGGCTCTGCGTATTGACACCAGAAACATGTTTACATGCTTTGTAGAAAGATGGCTTTCGTTTGTCGAACAGGTCCTCGACTCCTTCTATCCATGCCGCATGCCGCTACCCATTCTAACGTTCCGCCCGGGTCACCGATTTCACACCAGGGTGTTGCCTCAGAGATCCTATTTCGCCGCAGAACATCTCAGATTGGCCACATAGTGAACAAGACATACACCCTGGAAGATTAACATAGACATAGAACCTGAGAACCACTGGGTTGTAGAGGAAAGTAGTCTTCCAAAAGGTCCATTTTCAGGTTCCATGTTAATCTTCCCGGGTGTAGTTTCTTTTCGTGTTCCAGTCGCAGCTTTTCTTTCAGCGACTGGGGTGTCCAAATATGGGCGCCACTCTGATGCGGCAAAGCCCGACACCGCTGGTTCTTTATTCACCTCGCGTTGGGCATCCGGCGAAGAAACAGATATGTATCACTTATACATCACTGTCCTATCTACCACTGTCCGGCAGTTTGGGCCCAGACTCTGTCCCCACGATTCGATGTTCCGAACTGTGTGACCGGGCCGTGATGCTGGGCTCCCAGTGGGTGCGTCGCGGTCAGGCCGGGCACCCGGGGCCGTGCCACCCCCCCGAAGAGGCGCCGAAGGGGCGCCGACCGGTTCACGAGGAAAACCGGACATCCTCTACACCCAAAAAGGGGGCATCCGGCGAAGCGGCTAAGAGCGGCTAAGAAGCAAACAGAACAAAACACTGTTCAGAGAACATATGCCAACTCTATGGTGGCCTTATTGTGTTTGATTTGTTCTTTAATGTCTCCAAATCCCTGCAGGTCTGCTCTGAACAAAATTTGACAGACATTAGCCCAAGAACCTAGAGTTTGGAGGTGTCAAGCAGAATTCACCTCAAGTTTTGGGTCCCGCAGCGCCGCAGGAATGCCTTTGATGAAGCTGCTGTGAGTATCGGGCCTTATGCTACTTGGCTGTCACACGCGTCAGCTTCGCGTCGCGGGCGCTGGCACTCCGTCGGCGTGGGCGTCAGCGAAAGCAGCGGCGGCCGGACCAGGATCGGGGTGGAACTGGCCGGGCCCCCTATGCCTACCCAGGAAAAGTGGATAACCTTTAACCTTTCTTGGGGATTGGGGAAACCCCACTCATATGAACAGATGAACAACGGTTAACCTTCTTTTCAAGGAGTCACTAGGGTTTGCCCGAACCCCCATTCGAGATTGGTTATCTATTGGAAGGACGAGAAGAACTGTGGAGTTGGGCGACCCCTTTTTCTTTTCTGGAAGACATTCCGGAAGATCCCATGAAATCATCTGAGACTGGAAGCTCTTTGGCGTCAACCTGACCATTTTGGCGTCCACCTGAGTCTGGTTCTGGGTGATCCCGACTTCATCAAGGAACCAGTAGTTTGGGGGAATAGAACATGCCAATCCGCAATCCATCAAAGATCTTGATCTATACTTAAGGAAAGTGAGATAGGACCTGTGAAACGCTCGGTGGGAACAACATACCTATGTCATTCGGAAAGAACCTATATGCCACACCACCTATCTCATCAGGTCAAAACACCGAAATGACCCTTGCACACACACACACACACATTTATGTTGTCTCAATTTGTCTCATAAATTTTTGAGGTTTGAGGAGGTATTCGACTTTAAACCACGCATGACCTAGGAGTAATGCCACCAACATAGCATGTGGCAACTAGGGGATGAGATAGGAAAGCGATTGTTTAAATATCAGAGCGACAACCTAGTTTTTCCAGTTGGAACAACTCAGGTAGCGCTCCTAAGTCATGGAAGCTTTCATCAGTTGAGTCATATTTTCTCCTTGGGCACGATATTCTATTTGTTTGGAGTTATGTACTGGCAAACCGTCCACACCTCCTATGTCATCCTACTGTGTCCTATATTTGGCAACCTTATCTATACTGACTGATCACTTTCCCACGCTGCGGCCCACAACTCCTACGTCAGTAGCCGCCCAGCCAGTTCCATGTCATTAGCCCTCCGCATAGTCATAGGGTACTTGCGTTTCGATGGCACAGACCGCATGATGTCCTGAACAGATGGGGGTCCATAGAAGCCACCTCTTGGGGTCTGTGCCATCTACTCTCAATCCACAAGAAGTTGCATTCATCGGTGGATCACGTCTTTGCGAAGGTCTTGTCCTCTCCAGCTGGTGAGGAAGCTGCCGCCCCCGACGGTGCGCTCGTGGCCGCGCGTGCAGCTCCTTGGTCGAAATAGACCTGATGTGCAAAAACTGAGACTTTTCTCTAGCCATTTCACATACCAGCACCATTCAGCACCCTAAGTTGGAGGTCTCCGAAATGGAAGTGGTCCTGGTAGAACAGCCTTTGGACTGGCAATGCCGATGTGGGATCTTTCGGAGGTCTCTCGAGACCTCTGCGTCACGTGCTGGGCGTGTTCCGACGAGTGACCGGCGAACCAAAGGGATGAGATGAACCGATTGCTCTGTGGGCAGAACCCTCAGTCTCACCGAAGACCGCTTTGGGACGTCACCTTTCACCTTGCCACTTCAACGGTTGGCTGAGAGGGTTTGCTAGCTACCGGCCTTGACGTCTTGCAGTGGTTTCGGAGGTGAAGCATGCCACGTTTCCCCTAAGATGTCCTGAAAAGATAGGGGGTCCATGCCGGTTGTGTAGCTCAAATATGGAGACCTGGACAAGTTCGACCCCTTCTAAGGTTCGGACGATAGACCCCGTCTACCCAGTCAGGGTGGATTTGCCCCCCCCTATAAACATGAACACCCGCTGTAAATCACCGACAGTTGGGGGCCTTTGTGCCATCTGAAACCACCGACCTTTTTCGTGGCAACCCTTGTGATCGATCCGGCCCTTGCAATCTGACAGATGACAGCTTTCCACGTCCAGTCTGACCCAGGTCCAAACCTGGTCTTTACCTTCTGGAGGTTTTGTTTTTGAGTAACCAAGTTCAGTAAAATGAGGTCTTTGAGCAGTAGGGTTGATGACATCAAGCTTCAGGCGGTGAGGCGTGAGCCATATAGAGAGTGACCAGAACTTGCTGTTTGGTCCTTTTGTACCTTGAAAAGGACCTCCACACCCCAAGCCAATTCAGACTCCTCAAGGATCCAACATTGCTGTGCCAAGCCGTGCAAACCCAACTCCTCAAGCCTCAAACAGAAGGGGCGTCCTTTTCCTCCACTGCCCGCTACGCGGGTTTCCCGTGTTCTCCCGTTGGCTCTTCGCTACGCCCGTGGGCGGCCGCCGGCGAAGTCAGGCCTGTCTGGCGCGGCATGGCTGGGCCTTGCAGCAGAAGCTCGTCTTCCGAGTGCCCCAAGAGCTTCGACCCTCAGGAGGAGATCGGGTCGGACCTGCGCACGAGGAAGGGCGAGGCGAGCGAAGCTGGGGAAGAGCAGGGGCAGAGGCGAGGTGGGGCAATCGAATTTGTTGGAGATGCAGTGAGTTCTTTTTGGGTAAATGGCTGGTGAATAGCATCCCCCATATGAAGAGGCTTTAGAGCTGTCGGGCTCAAAACCTTCAGCTCAGGGTTGCGGGCACCCGGGGAGGCGCGGCTTTCTTCACGGAAAGCGTGCCTCGTCCAACAAGGCGGTCGCCCAACCCCGCCGGCCCCTTTGTGTGGCTTTTGTCTCCGTGATCCCTCCTTGCTGTGTGATCTCGCCATGTCCCGTGCTCCCTTGTTGGAACCTTTTGCTTCTCGATGGGATTCCCTCAATGTCGCTTTTGGCAAATCTGGCTTCCTCATCCCCTTGAAGGAGCAGTTTTGCTGGGCAGGGACGATCCTTGAATGTGAGTCGGACATTCTCAAGATGCACCTTCATCGATACACGCCAGGCCGTGGGTTTGTGAAGAGTCTGCATGACCAAAAGTGTGTTTCGATCCACATCCCGAATCTTGGATCCAGAGCTCTTCACCTTTTTCAGGGTTTGGAAATTGTTGGTTGGGGTTCCCTTGTCGCCCCGGGGACGAGTGAACATTGGTTCTTCAATGAACATACTGTTGTGGTTCCAAAGCCAGATGCTGATCCTGATCTTGCCCTCAATGTGATTCACCTTTTTGCTGGCGCTTTTGCTGGCTGGGAACAAGCCGCTTCTTGGCTGCCTAAAGCAAACATTGGTCAGACTATTGGTCAGCAGATCGCAGTTGATAGAGACGATGTTGTCATGGCGACCCTCGCTCAAAAGCATGGCATCCGCTGCTACCGTACTCCCTTTTGTTGGGGTTCTGGGTTCCGTTGACGATTTCAGCATTTTGAACCTCTGTTTGAACCGTGGAAATGTCATCGTTACCCTTTCACCTCCTTGTCCAACTTGGAGCCGGGCAGGCAAATCCCAGGGTTTGAACCATGAAGGAGGCTGGGCCTTCCTTGAGGCCCTCAAACTATGCTTCGTCATCCAGCCTGTTTTTATCGCCGCTGAGTGTGTCGATGATATCACATCTCATCCACACTATGGGTATATTCAGGACTTTTTGACCACGATCGGCTATGCTCGGATTTTTGACCAGGTTACTCCTCATCATCAAGTTTCCAACCACACCAGGTCTCGCTGGTTGTCCACGTGGGTGCGACGTGACATTGATGCCATGCCTGTTGCAAATTCATTCATTCCTATGGTTTTTCCTCGGGAGCCCTGGACTAGCCAGTTGTATGAGTTTCCAGTTCCTCGGGTGTGGGCTGACCAACTCCGGCTGTCACCCTCTGAGCTTGAGTTTTATGCCGATCCGCTCTTGCTGCCACCAGCCAAAAGGAGCCGCGTCAATTATGATGCCAAACCGTCTCAAGTCATTGAACTCAGGTTTCCCTCTGGTTCTGAGCCATTGCCCACGTTATGTGC